GCCCTCTCGGTGGTCAGGAGCATGTACTAAAGCGCCCTCTCGGGGGTCAGGAGCATGTACTAAAGCGCCCTCTCGGCGGTCAGGAGCTGTACTAAAGCGCCCTCTCGGCGGTCAGGAGCATGTGCTAAAGCGCCCTCTCGGGGGTCAGGAGCATGTACTAAAGCGCCCTCTCGGGGGTCAGGAGCATGTACTAAAGCGCCTCTCGGGGGTCAGGAGCATGTGCTAAAGCGCCCTCTCGGTAGCAAAAAGCACACTTAAGCGCCCTCTTTGGAATCAAATCCCGCTAAATGCTAACCAGGATTTAAGACTGACTCCAGTCACGCATTCAGACTACTAATTTCCACCTATAACTGTTATATATTACTACTAATTATTAACACTGCCTATCTGCAGATATTTATGATGATCACCAAAAAGCATTTCAGGTTTTAAGCTAAGTGAAAATCGACATATCGTTAATAATTTTAGCTACGACAAATAACTTTTCTTAGCAGAAGGAGATGAGTTTTCCTTATTTTAAACTTGAGGGTAACAGTTATGCCCCCATTATTGTTGTTGCATTAGCGGGCATTGCTAGCGTGTTCATTTTAGTTTTAGCATGCTAGGTCAGCTTAAAGCCTAGCACATCTATATCATTTGCTGTATTTTGGTCAAACTAACTTTAAAGGTGCTAAAACCTTCTTCACCACTCGATGTTAATGCTAATATTTTGAAATAATTCATGTCAAAATCCCACATATTTTCCCCAGCATGTTTTAGAGACCTAACACCTGCAGCAGACCCTTCCAGCTGTGCTGGGACAGAAATGCTTACACTCCACCCGGTACTTCTCCATCTCCTGCACCTCTGCGATGCTTTCTCGCAGGTCGGACGTGAATCGGGCTCTGTCCTGCTGACTCGGCGCTGTGAAGATGATCAACACTTTCCTCTCTCCTCCGGGATTTGCTGATGTCAGCCGGATACCATGAGGGTAGTCTAAGCAGGAAGAACGGGCAACATGTTACGAAACATCNCTATTCTATTAACATTTCTATATCTGTAGCATGAGATGGATGATCATTACTGACACTCCCTCCAGACAGAAATTGCATGTTGGTGCTGAGCCATTTGTACTGTGGAATATATCCCACCCCCCCCAGGATGCCTTTTCATCAGGCCACTGATTTCATATCAAAGCTCTCAGTAAAAACCCTCACAGGCTGCGCTCTGATTGGTGGATCCATGCAGCAGGAGGAGGGAGGACTGATATGATTGGACGGTTGGACGGTCGTTCAGTAAACTTCTCTCATAAAGTCACTTCTCTGATGGCAGCGTACCAATCACAGAGCTGGCAGCTCTGCCTAGCAACTGAACAGAAATAAAACAGGGAATTCCCACTAACTGAGCAGATCTCAGGTTTCTCTCATCAGGAATCCATTAGATGCATGATTCTAGGCAGGACCAGAAGGTTTCCCTTCCAGCCAAACATGTTGCCAAATCCAAGGCGCTGCAGCTAAACCAGATAGAGCTTCTACTGATGAAGATCATCTCCGCTCATCGTCAGCCTGTCGATAATGGAAGCAGAGCCATGAAGGATGACTCGACCTCCCCCCAGTCACAGCCATCGCCACGCTGCCAGGTCCCATTGGGTCCTGCTGCTGAACCACAACCGTCCCCGACTACAGCATCCTGATCTGACAGAGATGATGTCATGGATTCCTCGACTCAGCGCCGTGACCGCAGGCAGCGGCTGATCTGAGCGATGAGTGAAGCTCTGGACGATTGGAGGAAAACACCAGGAACCTGAGCAGAACTTCAGAAACTGATTCCTTCCTGGATTTTCTCAGCTTTACTTTGATTATAAAGGAGCTTCTGTTCGACATCACAGCGTTTCTGCATCGGTCTGAACCTGAAGGAGCAGCGGCTGCTTTCAGATGATGGAATGGAGATGAGAAGGCAGGATTCTGCAGGACGTCTGACGGGTTCAGGTTTGTTCTCAGGATCACATTCCTGATCCAGATCTGCTCGGGTCCTGCTTCATGCCAGTGACGTTACGCTACATGATTGGCTGAACGTTGCCACACTATGTGAAACATTGTGGTTGCCCTGACAACAATAATAACGTCACGCAGCGTCCGCGTGCCGAGTCCCAACTTACACCTTTTACAGCTTCTTTTTCTATGTCTGCTTCTGTCTCCTTGAACCCCAGTGGG